CCATGGATCTGGCGGGACGGCTCTGGCTTTTACCGGGGAAGCCATTCCGATGCGCCGAGATATAGACTTACTCAAGGGCGGGCAGCCCAAGACTCTCAACGAAATGGAAGCCGAGCTGCATTCGTTGCACAAAGAAAATTTCGATCTCAAGATGACCATTTATTACCAGAAAGATAAGATTGAGCGCCTGAATGGCGGGGAAATGGATTCTGGGGAGAGGGAGCGGGACTTGGAGGAGCACATTGCCGATTTGGAGTACCGAATGCAAGAGAAGGACGCGCGCCTCGAGGAGCTTGAGGCCTTCCTGGCCCATCATCACCAGCAAAAGCAGGTCCAAGGGCCACAAGACCAGGAACGACAAGATCCCCAGCTCCAGAGCCCCCGCGATTTGAAGGACGAGATGCGGCAAGTGTCAGCGGAGGCGGTGGCCGAGGCCCAGGAGGCGTTGGCCCGGGAGAAGGCAGTCTTTGAGGCTCGTCTGGGAGAGTTGCAGCAGCTGTTGCACCGCGCAGAAAACGAAAAGCGAGTCTTGGAAGGGGAACGTGTACAGGCGAAAGAGGAGGCGGAAGAGAATTTGAGAAAAATGCGCGAAATGGAAGCGGCCAAGAAAGGGGTCCAGACCGAGATGGAGACGCGCTTGTCGGAGGCGCAGGAGGCGCTGAGGGACACGCAGGCACGGCACCAAGCCGATTTGGCCCGTGTGCAGGAGAAGGCGGCAGAAGCGTTGTCCGCTGTCTCCAAAGAGTCCGTCCCACGTGTGACGGAGGCGGAGACTCGAGGCGCGGGAGCGGAGGAGGTGGCGGAGGAGACGGCTCGTACGGCGGAAGCACTCCGCTTGCGGGCCGAGATGGCCGAGCAGCAGGTGAGAGAAATGGCACTAGAAGTGGACGAGGCCCAGCAAGAGGCTCGAAGACTGCGGGCGATGCGAGGGGAGGAAGAGGCCGCGGCCTCTGCATCGGCCAAAGCAGCCGTGTGGAGGGAGACCCTGGAGGCGACTCGCCAGGAGCTTCGGCGCGAACGCTCCGAAAAGGAGGCGGCCTTACGTTCTCTGGACGAAGAACGAGAAGCACTGCGGCAAGAGAGGGGCGCCTGGCGGCAAGGAGAGAGGGGGGCATGGGCGGAGCTCACGGCGCTCCGCGACCAAGTCGCCACCGAGCAACGGGCGAAGGACGCATTGCTCTTGGACATGGCAGATATCCGGCGCCACGGGAAACAGCAATTGCGCGAGCTTTTGGGGGAGCTGAAAGAATTTGACCGGGTCGTGGAGAGGAATTTTGCGGAGCTCTTTGAGGCGGCGGCAAGTGCTGCCGAGGCCCAGGACGTACCGATCAATACTCCGTTGAAAGACCTGCTCGCTGCGGAGGAAGACGCAAGCCGTCGGCGGGGGCTCTTGCGCTTAGGCGGCATGAGCGACCCATCGCCGACGAAACAACTGGCCTTGGCCTTGGAGGAGGAACGGGGGGAAGGTGGTTTGCCGGGGGGAAGGGGGGGGGAGGGAACCCTGGGGGAGAGTCGAAGGGGTAGCCACGCGCTCGTCGCCTCTGGCGGGACCTCCTTGAGCATGCCAGCCAGCGGCAAATTGATGGTTCGACAGGCGCAGGATTTGGTCCGGAAGTGGAGGCTCAAATTGGAAGTTCTTCCCTCCTTTAATCAACGTTTCCGGGATGCCATTGCCCGTGCCGGCGTCGCGTTCGAGAGCCGACTCGCGCACATGACCGAGCGCTTGGCCAGCCAGGGGAACCAAGTCCAGGACGCGTACGATAAATTGGAAAGGCTCCAAGCAAGCAGAAGAGATACTGAAGAGGATCATGCCCGGGAAGTTGCCCGGGTCAAGCGGCGGGTGCAATCGGAGTACCAGGAATTGCTCGCAGAGGTGACGGCGGAGAAAAATGCCTTGACCGCACGAGTGGCTCGGATGGAGGTGGAAAGGACAGTGGCAGTGGAGGAGGCAAAGGCGGCTGGGAAAGAAGAGGCGGCCGCTCAGCACGGACAAGAATTACTTGAGAAGGAGAAGGGTCTGCAGGCTGCAAAAGAGGAGGTTGTTCAGTGGACCGGGCGGTGGAAGGCGGAAACGGAGGGGAGGGAGCGCGTGGAAAAAGAATTAAAGGCCTTGGCTGGAGAAAAACGAGAAATTCAGACGGAGTTGGATAGGCTGCTGCGTCAGCTCCAGTACCGGGACGACGTCATCGCCGTCCTGAAAGAGGCGTTGGACAGCCACGGCTTGGGAGAGTCGCGGCAGATCACTGCCCAGCTTGCCTTACTTGAAAGGCACATGTCCAAGGTGGACGGAGAGGGCAGAAAGGAGTGTGGACGCGGGGGACAGCGGGTGGTGTCGCTCATCAAGGAGGGAATGGAGCATGCTGCGGCGCACTTGATGACGGTAGGCGCCTCGCAAGGGTGGGAGACTGGCGAGCTTCTGCGACGTGCCGACGAGCTTCAGCGTTACGGCTTTGAAGTTGCGGCCTTGGTAACTAGCACAAAGCAGATGCTGGAGGAGCTCAAATCGTGGAATGCACAGTGCCAGGGGCCAGATATAGCCGATTGCAGGAGTGGTGGAGGGAAGCACTTGGTAGAGAAGCTGCTGGAGGACAACGCCCGTCTTGCCCGCCTCCTCCGTGAGCTTCATCAGGACCTGCAGCATCTTGTGCAGCGAGTCCGCGTTTCCTCTCCCCGTCCTGGGACGAACCGCGGCGCCAGTAGTTTCTCAGCGAGGTCCAATCCGGCCCCCGTAGGCAACTTTGGTAGTCCCCTGCGTCGAGCTGCCCGAGAAGCGTTGCCACATGCCTCTCCTTCCCTTGATCGTCTCAAACTTGCCGCCCATTGCAGCAAGAGCAGTGGTGGCGTTGGGGTTGGGTGCAGTAATCGTGAGGCGAACAGCAACCACGAATTCCTTCGGCGTGGGCACATCGAAAACCAGGACATATATTTACAATCAAGTCGATCGCTTCATAGTCGGGGGGAGAGCATGACCGGACCGTTCAGAATGTATTCAGGACACTCAGAAACTGGACATGTCGCGCAGAGTAGCCTTGATACAAGTTTGGCGGAGGCCAGTGATCAAGGAAATGGAGCGAAAGGGCAGGGCGTTTTGGCACGGCATCAGATCGAGAGGCGGGGCCAGGCGAGTGGATCAAAGCCTCTGGCGAACTTGGAAAAGATATCGAATGACTTACAAGAGATTGCTGCCAAGCTTGAGCACTTCAAATCCGGAGTAAAACTCCCCGGTACAACACTAGCCTCAAGTCCTGAGCAAGGTAAACGAACGCACACCCGTCGGTCAAGAAGGGAAGTACCGTAAAAACTTGAAAACAAAAGAGCTGGTCGCCAAAAAATGACGCCGAGATGATTTTATGTGTTATGTAATTCTATGTCTAAGGCACGAGGGGTATGCGGAAGGACTGGAAGAGGAGGACAAAGCGTGTTTGTTTTTGTGCATATCGCTTAACTTGTCATTCGTCGTTGCTTAACAACAGTAAATTGAGTCCTGCGACTAAGCATTTGACGATAAACCGGGAAAGTATGAATAGAAGGCAAAGATATGAGCCTACACAGCGCGATAAGTGTAATTACATTTTTTATTTGAATGCATTCTCTAATTCTATCATAAATTTCTATCCTCGTCAATCTCATGAGCATTTTGGTAAATACCGAGCGTTTTGACGGCCCTCTGCCGCTGCTGTTCCAATAGATGACGCACAACATCTATTTCTGAGGTTATGCAGGACGATTCGTCACCATCTTTGTCAACAATTGTGACGACCGTCGTCGCACGTCCAGCTGGAGAAAGCATATGTACATTGTACCTGAAGTTGGCGCGAGCAGTTGTCTTCGCAGGGACAGGGCATCCGACAACGTCCCTTAATGACGCACAAAGATCGAAATCAATTGATGGTGCATGAAATTTTCCCATGTGAGTGGAGATACGCGAACATAAACCTTCTTCGATTGCGATTTGAGGAGTTGCTCTCAAACAATAAGTGTAAGAGAGCGGCTAGCAACCGCCGGGATCGGAGTTAAATCGATCTTTTCCACACCCAACATATCCTTGCCATGGCAAACTTGAAAAGGGACTTCAGTGGCAGAGCCTGTTGTGAGGGAAATTCCACGCCACACGATGAAAAAGCGTAAAATCGCATAAAAATTGCTAATTAGGCGCTATTGCATGGAATATCAGGAAAAATATAAGCTAATGGATGGGAAGCGCCTCAGGGCTTGAAGATTGGGGGTGGTCCAAGTTTAAAACTAACTGCTTGAAACGGTAAATAACGGATCTCAAAAGCCAACGTGCCGGCAGCATAGCTTGACACGGTTGACATTACAGAAGCTGAATGTGTACATCTGGAATTTGGCTATTAAATTTTCAGAAATCTGGCAGCTATGAAATGTGCAACATGGTTAATAGTCATCCTTTTCCTCTCCAAGACACAGACTATGCGTGCCTTCCAAACGCTTGTAAGTCTTATCGTAGTGCCGTGCGCGCTGGCTTCACCTGTACTTTTCACCTCCTGCCATGAAGATGAAAGCCCACTTATGCTCGAGTCAATGGAAATTAATCCGTATCCCGTCAAAGCCGGAGGAACGAGCAGTGTTGCAGTCACCGCACGAAGTACAGTTGCACTTGAGCAGGGCAGTTACGTTGAAATGAGTTTCAAGGAGGGTCCTTTCATGGGTGCCGTAAAGAAATATGACATGTGCTCAATGTCAGATCAGGACTGTCCTATTCCGGCGAACAGTCTTGTCAAGTTCGAGCTTGACTTTCAGATAAACTCCCGCGCGAGCAAAGGTGTCGCTACTGGTAAGGTGTTGGTTTCTGACCACACGGGTGCTGAGATCGCATGCATCCGCGTCCCCGTTCAAGTAGATCACTGATCTGTCAAGCGTAAATGACCGACCTCATCGAGCGCTGAAAATCTTAAAAAACACAAGATACAATTTCGGACATACTTACTACCAATCACAAAGCAATAAGGCATATGCCAACCAATCGGAATCGTTTCACGTGCTTACTCATCGGACCATTCTTCAGCCTTCTTTCCTCTGCGTCACTATGTATTAATCGAAACCTCATACATGTATCCGCTTTAAAATGTTTGGAGTAAAATTCTCGTCTCAAGTTAAGCGCCTTCGACTATGCCTCTGTTGCCACTAATACTCTCCCCAGGTGCTCGCCATTCCATAATTATTCATGCTATATTAACAACCCCAGGATGTTGACAAATCTCCTTGTCAATATCAACAGCTCCTTTGTGTATTCCATTCAACTATCCTCCTCCTCGACATCCGTCATGTCAGCAGTCGACGTTTTTTCTTCCGAACCCTTTGCTCACCCTCCACGCACCGCTCTATCAGCTTACGCCCAAATCGCAATCACACTCATCGCTCCCGCCCCCAACAAAACACACATCATCATTTGTATCTGCCAAATTTTGTGCTGTCTCACTTCTCTTCTGCTGAACTCCTCCTGCAAAATATCCACCAACGCCAAGTATATCAAAATGCCTGCGGCAAAAGCATTAAAAATGCCTTCTACAAGCGCCGCCTCCCGGGACTCCTCGTCGTACATTTTACTGATGCCCATGCCTATGACAATCCCCAAGCTGGTGGTGATGGAGAAAAGGCCGAACATGATGGCATTCTTCATGCGGGGCAGGCGGGCTTCCAGGATACACGTCGATAGACCCGCGCCTTCGAAAAATTGATGGACCGATATCGCGACAAGCAATGTCCGGGTATTGTTTATGGATGAGGTGGCCGTGCCCAGACCGATACCGATCAAGACGGAATGGAATACGATACCAACCTCCATGATGTACGCAATCACAAGCGAATGATTTTTGAAGGCCTGAACAACGTGCACCGCATCGTTGTGCCCGCCGCCCTCATGGAAACTGTGGTTGTGCCCGTCGCTGCCGAAGGAGGGTTGCTTCTGTACTGCGAGGGAGCGGGCGCTGAGCATCGTCTTCAAAGAAGCTTGGGCACGGGGGGAAACGAAGGGCAGCTGCGCGAAGGGCGAGGAGGGAGCTTCTCCAGCGGGGGCCACGCCGGGGCTGCGCATGCTCGGCGGGGGGGGGGGGACGATCTGCAAGTCTGTGGGCTTCTTTCGACCGGTAAGAGCGGCCCCTACTGGTGTGATGGGTGCATGCTGATGCTCGTTCCCACTGGCGCCGTCTGCCCCTTGTCGGGCAGCCTGCAAAAATTGCTTCTGGGAGGCCGTCAGCCCCTCTTGCACAGCGGCCTCTTCCAGGTGAATGCTGGGTGCCCGGGCGGAAGGGGAGGTATCGGGGGCGGAGATGACGACTTTGCTCATGTTCAAGGACGGGTCTCGGCCCATACTGACCATGTCGACGCCGCCCGTGCTGGAGGGGCCGGGGGGGCGGCTCTTCCGCCCCATGCTCGAGACCACGCCGTCCACGACCTGGGAGAGGGCAAGGACCACGATGGAGCCCATCATGGCAACAAAGAAGGCCAGGGGGAAATCCACAAGCTCCTCCAGGGTCTCGTTCGCTTCTGCCAGGACATGGACAAAACCAACGCATAAAATGATGCCGGCACTGAAGCTTTTTAGCAGGTGCATGGCATGGGCCCCGTGGAAAACACGCTCCCCGTCAGTTTTGTTCCGAGAAGAAGGAGTCAGAGGCAGATTACCTCCAAACTTGGCTCGTCCGTCCAAATCAAGTACGAGGAGGGGGAACATGCAGCCCAAGGCTGATACCACCATGATGACGAAGACTGAAGCGATGCGCAGAGGCAGCGTCTCTCCACTCTCCTGGCCGAAGGCAGACTCGTCCAGGTCTGCCATTGTCCTGTTCACCAGGCTGGCTGGGAGGGCAGGGGGTAGGACAGAAAGTGGAGAATCAGGCCCTAGACTTCATATAGCATTGATGGCTGTAGAGAATGATATTTCATATCTCTCATGTTTCCTTGCGGGCAAGAAACCCCGGTGTCATGCAATGTGAAAGATCCTGACTGGATGGCTCCAACAAAGGGGTAGTCTCAGCCCTTGTACTTGCGTTGCTCTGAGGCTTGGCATACCTGCACCGCATAAGCGAATATCAAGTAGCCCGATTGAGATCGATCGACCGCCCACATTATGCCACATCACACTAGTTTCGTAGTAATATAACGAGTCATCATTTTGAGCCACCAAGTGACTTGAAATGTGAGGAGGCGTCCTGGTTGATGGACCGTGCAGGCACAGGGATATGGAAACAAACAAGCCTCCAAAGCTGTAACAAACGATTATTCACCATCATGTTTTCATATAGAGAGTCAATTGGAGGAACACAATCTACCATATCATCCTCTGATTCAAAGTCGAAATCGCAGACAATTTCCCAAAGCTCGACATGGCAGATTTCCTGGGTGAAGGGGTCGGCGGAAGGATCGATTCCACAAGATTCAAGCGTGGAGCACGACAAAATTTCAGTGCTTCGTCGACAACCATGAGTACCAACTTGGTCCTGAGCAACGTGGTTCATTTCACATTCGACACAAGAAGCGAAAGTTAAGAACAATTTTCTGATCGCATTCAGACATAACCATGATGGGAAGGAACGGGGTAGCGGCCCTATCTGCCGGAATCCCTATGGATCTGTTTGCTGTACCAGTAAGTTAGGCGTCTGCTTCTTTATAAATATTACCATATGCATGATCAGCAGAAATGTCTCGCAATTTATCGCAATTCTCCTCTATTTGGGATATCAGTGGTACCAATAGATACTATTCCGAGGACCCAACGCCGGGCAGGGTTGTGGCGGCCGGACGAGACTTCAATCAGCGGCGTGCTCAAGGGCACGAGCCTCACTTACCAACACAGCGCAAGGGAAGCTTTGCTTCAAACGGAACAAATCCATCAAGCCCACGGTGTTGCCTTTGGAGGGTACGCGTGTCTGATTGATATGTATAGCTCACGGTACGCCTTTGCACAAGGCTTTAGAGCGGTGGGGAGGTTGATACATATTCCAGGCACTTGCAAATGCGTCAGCTCCCTGGCGAAATGTCTTCACTCTCTTCCAGGAGAATGCGCATAAGCGTGCGGTGATTCTAATGAACAAGATTGCTGCGACAGTTTTAATCTACAGGCGGGCGTAGCGTGATAGAAGTTTAGCTAAGTGGTCAAGTAATGGGCGTCATCCCAATGTTTTTGTCGTTTTTCCAACATTTTTTTCCGCTGAAAGCGCTCGACATCGAGTTTTTTTTCTTATGAGTCTTTATCTCCACTCTTCCGCTTCCTTTTCTTTCATCATGCCTCCGCGTATTGATGTTTTATCTAAGGGCAATCCACTTCGCTACGAGGCAGAGACCCGTTCATTCCTCTAGACTCAATGAACCACTTTTAGAGCAACGAGCCCGCGGGACAGATCCTCTTCCATTTGACCACCTTACGCATGCCGAGGACGCTCACAGGGCCAGCTTGGTGGCATCTTCTTCTCATCTTAAACGTTTGTCTCCGGACGCACATGTCGCCTTTCTTGGTCCTATCCTGCTTGTCACATATATTGGCTGCAACACCGATTTGAACATCAATGATAGCGCCGCTGGAATTTTCCAGGCCCCCCTTCCACGTTTCCTCTCCTCACGTTCCTATCATCCCTGGGATAGCTTGGCGTGTCGTATGGGACATGTCGCTCGTCCTGGTTGCGTCGACGCTTCTGGGGCCGGTCCACAAATCCGCGGTCCGCCCCCTCCCTCCCCTGCTGGCGGTATTTAGCACCCTGGGGGTGCAAAGGTCGGCGCTCGCCCCTCCCTGCTCCCTGACCCGGGCCTGCTTCGGGAGAGACCGAACGGGAATAGCGGCCAGAGTGCCGAGGCAATCCTCGCGGAGGATCTCGGCCGTGACCGGAAGCAGGGCGTCCTCGCGGCCGGCCCTCCAAGAAGGGGCTTGGGCTTCGGGAAGGCGGATACCGGGGGGCCTCACTGTGAGAGTAGGAGTCCTGAGAAGGGCTCGGGTCCCGCGTGCGCCTCACGGAGGAGTACACGGCGCGCGGCCGACCTTGGGAGGCTGAGTCCGGACGTGGAGGGGGGGAGGCAGAGAGGGAGGGGGAGGGACGCCGACCTGGCTCCCGCCCATGCCTGAATGGTCCCCGCGAGGGCATGTCCGAGGCATGGGGAGGGAAGGCCGAACGTCTTCCGTCAAAGGCTTTCTTCTCTGCGTCCGGGCCCCGCCTCTCCTGCCCCAAAGGCCTGGCCGGGCGCTCGTAGCGGGCGGGGGGTGCCTCCCTGCCTCTCCTCGTCCCCTCGGGATCGGGCGCGTTGGCAAACGACCGCCCTTTGAAAGGTCTGAAGGTGGCCTTCATGCTGCGGAAGCTGTTTCGGGTGATTTTGACGGCACCCTTGCTGTCATTAATGGCTTTCACCGCCTCCGTGGCCTCCTGGACGTTGGCGAAGGTGACAAAAGCCGAGGTCCGATGTCTCTCTGTCAAGGGGTCCCAGACGTTACATTGGTATCAGACATCGAAGGAAAGCAAGGCAGCACCACCTAGAAACGACAGGAAGGCACACAAAGGCCCCACCCATAAAGCCCGCTGCTTGACAGCACCGCCCTCCCGCGTACCCCGCCCCTTCTTTCTCGCGCCCCTCCCCCCCCTCACCTTTGGGCGTACCCTTGACCCCCGTCACCCGCACCACCTGGCCCCACCGCTGCATCAAAGCCGCCACTTCCTCCTCCTCCATCTCCTCCACCCCGTCCACGTACACGTCTGCGCACGGGACCCCCAGGGTGTAGCCCGTGGACAGCCTCTGCCCTTCGAAGACAATCCCCCGCACCCCTCCCGAAGGCGCTCTGCCAAGGTCACATTCGCCATGGACAGATAAGCAACGAAGCCCTCTCTACGTCCGTTCCCTCCAGAAGGCCGGAGAAGAAGGTCTGCCGCTTGGATTTTGTAGGTGGGGGCATGGGATTGGAGGAGGCGGAGGAGGTCCGAGAAGGCGAGGTCCCTGGGAACGAGATGGAGAGGTCGAGTGATTACCACTAAGTGCAGCACGCGAGGGGGACCACAGAGATTTCTATGTAGTTCCTGATAAAGGAAATGTATTACTATCTGAAAAAGACAAGCAGACCATCTTATCCACTACAAAGAAGAGGGAAGTGGCCCGACCGAGGGGCAGGGACAACCGTCGCCACACAGTCAAGCTTACAGGTCACAACGAGATAACAGGCTGTGGCCCTCACCCGTGGCATTCAAGCCGTCAAAGGGGAGAAGTTTTCATCCATTCAGTGCAAAACCATCTCAATCGTATCCGCCAAGGAGGCAGGAACCTCCAGGTTTCAGAAACAGCCATGCTGCGTCTCCAGTAACGACGAAATCCCCGCTTGTCTACATTATGACACTCCAACCAAAATTCTACATGATTCTAGCGTGTCATAGCCATATTTCGAAGAAAAAAACAGTGCAGAATATCGCTCATATAAGCGTTGTCTAAAGAGCTTCCACAGCCAGGCGCCACAGGTTCGGCAGGATAGACTGATACAGCCCATGCCATACCCGTACATCAACGAAGAGAGATATGTGCGAGCAAAAATCCATTCCAGAACATGACAGAAGAACGCAGGAGTGGCATGCGTAGAGTAAGAGAGAAAGGTGTGGAGGCACACGAGGAAAAAAACCGCACCTGGACAAATTCCGGATAGCCACGAAAGGCGTCACCTCCTCGCACTCCATCTGCTTGGCCACGCGGCTCGCACCCGCATCCACGCCCGCCGGCTTCCTGGGAGGAAGGGGGTCGACGCGGTGACGAGAATTTTCTTCCTGACCAGGGCGGCCTCGGGCCTGCCGATCCACGGACGGCAGGCGCCGCTCGAAGTCTCGCCTGTCCCCCGCATCCCTTGGTCCCTGGCCACGGCTAGGTCTTCGGGCGGGACTCGACGACCGGCCTCGGGCATATTCCTGCATTTCTCGTCGCTGTTCCTCCGGGTATGGTAACAGGCGTGTCGGTAAATTGAGGCGACGTTCCAGGTAAGTGACCAAGCGCCGGACACGGGAGCGATACAGCCGGTTGCCTCGACTGGGGATAATTCGAGCCTTCTCATAAATTTCGTCCCACAGCCGTGGAGAAATGCCGATGTTCTTTTGCA